ATTCTGAAAATCTGCTCTTGAGGCATATTAGTCCTAGGGGTTGTTTATATTTCCCCATTTCTACTTCTGTTTCAATATATCTGCAGTAGTTATTTCACAATGTCCATTAAGTCTGTGAGCACAGAAATACAATTTTAGAACAGCCTGCCTACCATCCATCTTACTTCTTTCCTGGAAATCTATTCAGGTTCTCATTCCTGTCTTATCAAAGGGCCATCTCTTCTGTTTTTCTGCAGTGTTTTGGGCTGATCAGATTAGTTGAACAGAAGCCATAAATGGAAGTTTGGGCACATCCTTTGCTAGCTCCTACTCAGCTTTCTGGTTTCCACACCTTTTCCAGTTTCCCTTTGCCTTGGCTCCCCACCCAGTTGTCCAGTCATCTACTCACCCTGGGATATATCTCGTGTGGGTGGGTAGAAACTATAATCTGATCATTCCATGACTGGTTCAGACCTCATTGGACGTAAAGCATAAAAAAGACAGCCATCTGTGGTTGTTCTTCACTGAGGACTTGCTTTCCTGGCATGTTCCCCCCAAATTGCCAAATTCAAGTGATTGCCATCACAAATGGGATTTTCATCTTCAGAATGATCAGGTTACCCAGCAAAGCCTTCTCCTGCTTCTTCCACTGTCTTTGGAATTGAAAACAATCCAGCTGTCTCTAAGGGAAAAAAATGAAAACAAACACAAAAATAAACTACTTTTACATTGTAAAGAGTGGGGGAAATTGGCCATTTTTTTAATATTAGAAATTTCAAACAGATGGAAAGCTAATTTATATTTTCATTTTGACATTTACTTACCCAGTGGGAGTGTGATTAAGCCATATTTTAAGCCCAAAGTGGCCTTCATCTGAAAATGTTATAGACATATTCTACTGGTAATGCTCTTCACCATCAACAGAACTTTAGGACCCAGAAACACTAATTCTCCTGTGCCCAGACCACCCTAATCAAGGGGTGCAGGGGATAGGAACCTCCTCTGTGAAAATGTTGGTCTCTTATGATCCTCCCTGTTTCCTTTCTTGCCCCACTTGGGGCCATTTTCCGTAGAGCTGGCAAAGGGATCTTCCTTCAATGCAAATTTGACCATGCCAGCCCCATGCTTGAAATAAACCTTTCAACGACTCCATATGACCCTCATAATTAAGTTAAAACTCTAATATTTAGCATGTTATTACAGTCATCTTTGATCAGACCCTGCTCACTCTTCCCTGCCTGTTCATTCTGCATCCAAATCATACTAAGCCATGTGTCATCCCAAGATGTGCCTCTCCCACTGTCACTACCAGCCATTTGCACTCACTGCCCATTTGGCCTGGAAAACCCCACTGCCCCTTCTTTACCATTTTACCATGCTAAAATATGACCAAAGATAATTTTACCTGAAACGTTTAGAATTCTAGGGCTTCACTGATTAGTCTCATGTTTGCCCAGGATTTTCAATCTTACTGAATTTCCATCTTACACATTTTCCTACGTTGTTCAGTGAAAACACACATTAAAATTCTTCCAAAAAAACAACCTTCAAAAAAAAAAACAGCCCCAAAAGATAGATATTTTGCCTAAATCACTGAAAGCAATCTAATCACAAGTGAGTGATTCTTTTCCACACATGATGGAATTTTCCCTTACTGGCTCTGGCCACATCCATGTGTGCTCTTGTCATGCCCTGTCACACACACCCCACCCTCGAAATAGCAATCCTCTAAACTTGATGTGTTCTATTTCCATTTTGATACTCCATGGTTGAATAAATTATAACATCTGAATTGCCTGTTGTACAAAACTGAGTTATAATCTCAATTTTAAAACAGGAGGTAATGGTAGCAGAGGATATGCAGATATTGTGAGATTCACCTGAGATTTCACAGTGTTTATGGCAAATACAAAAATAGAAGTCCTAATTCTGGAGCCTGTTTTCAGTTCAGAGGTCCTCCTGATTTGAAATAACAGAAGAAAGAGAAATAGTCCTTTGTACTGGAAGCTAATAGCTTGAAAAAGGATGAGTTCCAGAGCAGTGGGCCCCAGACCAAGATGATCAGCAGCCCTTCCAAAGTCCAGTCTGGAGTTGGCCGGCACTTTGTTCCCATTATACTTGCTATGGGGACATCTTTGAGTCCACTCCACCTTTTCATTTCCTCCTTTAGTGCAATGTCACTTGCCTAAAATAGCTTTTAGGTGACTTGCTTTACGGATGTTTTCCATAGAACACCACTCCTTTCCTTTCAGACGTGAATTTAATTTTAGTGAATGGATTGAATTTTATTTTTATTTTAATGAGAGCCCTTGTCATCACATCACCCATTACGTTATCCTTCCATATTGGTGCACCTGTTATTCATGTCAGCAATTTATTGACCTCATCAGTTAACTGCTATCCATTCTTTTCTTTTATCTATTCAAATAAACTTAACTCTTTCTCATAACTTTCTTAATCAAGGGAATTTTTTATACTAAGTAATTGAAAGCCCCTTGAATCTAATCACTTCAACATATTTTGCCGCTAACTCTATTAATAGGAAATAATGCATTGATGGTGTGCCACTTAAAATAAAGTTTAGATTAAGTTTAGAAAACTTGGGCAAAGATAGATGAAGTGTCTTATTTTTTTTTTAATTGCTTCTGTGTCCAGAAACAAATCGGTCCCTGCATGCTTGATATAATTAGACAATTCATTTAGGCATGGGCAGCTGGGAGCAGGACCTACCACTTCAGGGCTGGGCTGCTTTCAGCAGGTCAAATAAGCAGTAGGGCTTCACGGTTTTTCTTTGTCAGAACAGGAGATGAGATGACATCTAACAGAGCAACTTACTAATATTCTTCCCTGGCCCTTCCTCTCTTGCCTTTTCAACAGTATTTCAGGTAGGATTAATGAAAGCCAGATGATAAAGCCACAGACACCATCCTTGGTCTCCAGTTTCTCAAAACAAAAACAAAAACAATAACAAAAAAACAAAAGCACCTAACTAGAAGCAAGTACTTAACCCTCATTATTTAAAAAAATATATATGCTTATATGGACCCATATGTATGTTAATAATATATGAAAGTGATGAAGCTTTGTTTGACCCAGACGTGCTGCTGATTTTATAGAAAATTACAGAGCAACTGTCAATCTGGAATTGTGCCATATTCTTCAATTCTGACCAAATTTGGAATTGAATAGAGTTCTGATCATAATTACAAGAAACTCAAATACAGGAAGATGCTACTTTCTCTGATGCTTTGTTACTTAGTTCCACTGACAGCAGATTATTCAGGAAAAGCCTTGGGAAGATACTTCCCACTGACAGATTTGGCAATGCCTTGGGTAGTTTTACAAACTAACCTGTTGGAAATTCATTTTTAGTCGGAGAATCCTATAGCACAATCATCTTATTTTATTTTATTTTATTTTATTTTATTTTATTTTATTTCAATATATGAAGTTTATTGTCAAATTGGTTTCCATACAACACCCAGTGCTCATCCCAAAAGGTGCCCTCCTCAATACCCATCACCCACCCCCCATCAACCCTCAGTTTGTTCTCAGTTTTTAAGAGTGTCTTATGCTTTGGCTCTCTTCCACTCTAACCTCTTTTTTTCCTTCCCCTCCCCCATGGGTTTCTGTTAAGTTTCTCAGGATCCACATAAGAGTGAAACCATATGGTATCTGTCTTTCTCTGTATGGCTTATTTCACTTAGCATCACATTTCCAGTTCCATCCACGTTGCTACAAAGGGCCATATTTCATTCTTTCTCATTGCCACGTAGTACTCCATTGTGTATATAAACCACAATTTTTTTATCCATTCATCAGTTGATGGGCATTTAGGCTCTTTCCATACTTTGGCAATTGTTGAGAGTGCTGCTATAAACATTGGGGTACAAGTGCCCCTATGCATCAGTACTCCGGCATCCCTTGGGTAAATTCCTAGCAGTGCTATTGCTGGCTCTAGCACAATCATTTTAATTGTTTCCTTATTTGTTTACTACTTTGAATTGTTTGCTTTTCAACCTCTTTTTTGACATTCTACAGACATGTCAGGAGGTTAGAAAGATCCAAGAGCTAATTCTTACCATGGACCTTGAAATAATTTGGATGAATTCCATAGACGAAAGATGAGTAACTTCTTTAACTAAAACTATAGTCTCGGAATTTGAAGGGACCTTAGTGATATCTAGTTCAGTCATCCATTTGAAGTTTAAGTTTGCTCCAGTCCATCCCAGTCAAGTGAGATTTAACCCTTCAGGGTATTCTCCAGACAGCTCTGGCTTTTAAAAAGTTCTTCCTTATCTTCAACTACATAACTTCTACCCTTGGTTCCAAATCCTGTTGGAGACATAAAAAACAGCTCTGCTCAAACTCATGAGGCTGCAAACTTATTGAGGGCAGGTATTGTATCCACTACAGCTTCTGGCGACTTGATACATGATTGTCAAATGGAGTTAAAAGCAAATAACGTTCTTCTTTATTTTGATATATATCTTACAAAATAACAAACGATCAGTATATTTAAGTCCCGTTGAGAAAGCGTCATATAAAGTAGCTGATTCTATTGTTTAAGCGCTGTTCCTGATATGTTTTATTCTTTCAATCTTATAATTCAAGCAATTTTACCTGTCTTGTGTATTGCAGCTTACCTTCGTTATAAATTAACATACTTGCCCCTGCAGATGTTAACTGTTAGGCATCACATATGCCAACGAGCTGAAACCCCACTAAAGTAAGCATTAGAAGTTCTGGGTTCCAGCACCAGCCCCTCACTACCCATCTGAGTGATACTGGCTCTTGGTTCCTATTCTGCAAACTGCAAGGGTTGAACCAAATGTCCTCTCAAAGTTCTTTCCAGCTTCACAAATCATTTGCGTTTTTGACTTGTCTGTCCCATGTGGTAGAGTAGCCACAAAGACAGTCAAAGACGCACCTCTGATTTCCATTTCACTTCTCCATTTATATTGCCAATTACCATCCAAATGTACAGTTTAAAGCTAGGGATGCTTCTCCTCTCATTTCAGAACACTTTTCTTCAGGAAACAGTGCGCAGGGAGTGTGAAGAACGCTTTGAACTGACACAGGCTTTGAGCCAAGCCAGAGAACAGCTTCTGGAGCTCAGGAAGCTCAGTGGAAGTTTACCTTTGTCGCCGTGTTCCCTTAACCAGGGCAGCCTAACCTCCTCTGCTGCAGTGGTCAGCAGCCAAGGAGAGAGAAGCCTTACAAGACTGAACTCTGGAAAAGGAATCAAAATCCCCAGCCTGCATGGAGTGTCAAAACCCACCACTGCCCCAACCTCAGTTCAACCCAAGAGGGTCAGCAGCTCAGGTTTGCCTACTTTCCCCCAGCCCCATCCTCCCAGCGGTCGAGCATCTTCCGTAAATGAGACGGGACAAAGACTGACTGCCATTCTGAGGAGGAGACTAAATCAGCAGTGACTGATCCAGCCAGGAGCAGCTCCAAGCAGGACACTTGGTACTTCCCAGACCAAGTGTAACTGAGGATGACAGAGGTCAAATTATTATCACAGATCAAGAATGCACGGTTATAGATATTTTTAATAGGATAGTTGGAAAAACTAGGAATTGTGAAGCCATATTTTCCAAGAGGCCTTTGAAGTTGCAACAGATAATGAAGTTGGTGGTATTCCAGAGGGCCAATTTCTATGTGTCTACATTGGATGTTTAGATGTGTTCTCTGAATATTCCCTTTTTGAGATCCCAGGTAAAATTTTTCACCCATAGCATCTTTGCTATTTTTTTTTTGTACCTTTACAAGCAGATATATTTCCACCAAAAATAGATTGTGTTGGTTTTGTTGGTGTTTGTTCATTTGTTTGTTGAGCTGAATAGGTTAAATAGATGTGATTAGTATTCCAAATAGAAAATAGAAGTACATTAGTCCTAAATTTGATAATTTCCAAAATATTTAGTTCAAATATTCACAGAATTCAACATCATCATAGAAACCTTCTCTTTTCATTTTGCAATTTAATTGGTTAATACAATTTCTTTTTAGGCCAGAAGTAATGATAGGTACCCTTCAAGAAGACAGTCTTTCCTGTGAACCTGGGACCTTCTAGAAAAAGGGACACCAACTCCAATTCAAGGACAAGGGGGTTTACTTTTCAAACTTTAGAGATTATTTTTAAAAACAGTCTGGCTGACCATGTAAATATTACTTGGTAGAGGTAGTTTTTCTACATTGAATGGTTTTTAGTAATCACGATTAGATTTTGATTTGAGCCATTGGGAAAAGAACTAATTCAAGACAGTCTCATAGAGGCACATAGTGCTAATTTGGGGGTTCACGTTTTATTACCTCCTAAAATGGCCAATTGGTTAACATATTTTCTATTTTCATAGTGAAAAATTAAAACCAGAAACCAAACAGCTATTTTAAGTTATAAAGCTTCAGGCTTCTCCTGTTTCTTAAAACATAAGTCTTTACCTTAAGCTAGTGATTGTCCATCTTTTTTCCCCTTCAAGTTGAACTGCATTTTTTTTTTCCAACACTGACTTTAGTTAAATGCTTCATCTGACTGTATCAGGGACATCCAAGCTTTTTAATCCCAGATGAGAATGTTAGTAGCACATGTCAAATATGGCACATAAAACTCTCCTCTGTCTGGCTATTATGTTCATGAGAGAATCCAAAGGTACTTGGAATCCCTCCCATGTGCAAAAAGCAAAGTAAAGCTGCTAAGTAAATTCAAGTTTATCTTTAATCTTTAAAAGGATTAGTCTAATCTACCAATCGTGTGTTTTAACTTCAAAAAAAAAAAAAAAATTCCACATTAGGTCTGCCGATTTCCCTGACTAGTTTAAGTGAGCACATCCTGTGTTAAGGCTTAGAATGCTTAGTTTCACTTTACAGAGATCGATGTTCCTTATAATGGCATTTGACAAGAGAACAAAACAATAGAATGGTGGTGCTGGAGTGAACCTTAGAGGTCACCCCAACCATTTCTTTACAAATAAGGAATAGATACCCAAAGAAGTCCGACTTGCTAAAGAGGTACAGCTAGTGACAGAGCTAAAACCAGACCGTTAACCGACCCCAACCACTCCACTCACTTTCCCACTCATCAGAGTTTCCCCAGCCTCCATCAGGACTTTTGTCAGAAGCCCCACATAGTGTTTACCTAATATTTTCTTTAAATGCCCTCGCTTTTTAAACTTAAAGTTATGTAAAAAGAAAGCTTGGCCCAAGAAAGAATAATTGTAGAGTAACGAGTTTGATTTGCTAGGTATATTTTTGCTAATACTTGAAAATCAACATGTATCTGTTAAAATTACAAAATGTTGGCTGGTGTACCCCCTAAAATCATCGTGTACAATGACAGTAGTACCCGTGCCACCCTCTGGGAACTACTGGATCAGACCTCGATGTTTCTGACCTGGTATTTGGATGTTTAAATTACAAGTACTCGTGACATGAGGTAGATGGAAGAAGCTAGAGAAAACTTTAGTAAAAGCCTACAGGAAAATTCGGGGCAGCGGTTCTTTGCCATCATATGATACACGCTTTTCCACAGTCTCCCAATTTCAGCTCTCTCTTCAGGAACCATGGGGATACATTTTTTTCCCTAAATTATGAACACATTTAAATTTGTAAAGAAGGTCACGTGTAAGCTTTTCTAAAGTGATAAAGACTATCAGTGCAAATCTGGTTTCTTGGTTTGTTGTTATACTCTCACTTTATAATATAACAAGTCATTATGTAAATAATCTCTCTGAGAATAGAATCATGGTAAGACTGTGTTATATTCCACAAGTATATTAGAGAGGTTATTCCGTGGATACACGACAGAGACAATATTGACATTTGTATCAAGCTAGACCACTTGAATGGTGCCATCTAAGCTATGTGCTGGGACTTTTTAGAGGAAGACACTTAAAGAAAAGAGAATCGCACTAGAGTATGTAACCTGGGGGTTAAGAACATAAACTTCCCTTGATTTTCTCACTGATGAGCTAACTCCTGGCATGAAACAGTATCATATCAAGAGTGTTAGGGAGGCAGTGAATACTATGGCAAAAGAGAGCTCTCAAATGCATATAATGGATATTAATTTAAATCTATTAGTTTTAATTTCTCTATATACATCTGTTTTCCATGACCTCAGTGGAAGGATTGATAGGTGCAAAAAGAAAAGAATATCACAGAAAATATTCCTCAAATAATTATAACCCTGTTTTTTTTTTTTCTTCTCAATTTAATATTGGTAGACAAAGATGGGAGAATTCTATAGTTAACATAGATTTTTCAAGTGATCTTTTTCAAAGTCTTTTTGAATGCAATTACTGTATTTATAGTTAGAATTACTTAAAAGTTATATTTTCTGGCAATGGAATTGACTGGAAGAGATGTTAATGTTGAAAATTATGCAGGGGCACCTGGGTGTCTCAGTTGGTTGAGGCTCCAACTTCAGCTCAGGTCATGATATCATGGTTCATGAGTTTGAGCTCCATGTCAGGCTCTGTGCTGACAGCTCAGAGCCTAGAGCCTGTTTCAGATTTCTCTCTCTCTCTCTCTCTCTCTCTCTCTCTCTCTCTCTCTGCTCTCCCCCACTCATGCTCTGTCTCTTTCAAAAAGAAACTTTAAAAAAAGAAAATTATGTAAAACTAAGATTTTTTAAAATGTTCTATTAGTCCCAAAAGTTTTTGTAGTATTACAGATCAATTATAGCTAATTGCTTTGATTGTGGAACAAGTTTTCTCAAGCTGCATCTTTTAAGGTTCTTAAAATTGCAGTATTGCACTGATAAAGCAACCTAGTATCCTGAAAGGGTTAATGCACTGGATCTCAAAATTCCTGACCATCATTTTGTATCTTATGGAGCACAGGAAATCAATTTAATATGTGTCCAAAGTTCACAAATCCTACAATGATTATAGATATATATTTTTTACTTTTCCACTTTCATGGTTTATTTTTTTAATTTATTTATTCTGAGAGAGGGAAAGTGCATGAGCAGGGGAGGGGCAGAGAGAGAAGGAATGAGTGAATCCCAAGCAGGCTGTGCTCTGTCAGCACAGAGCCCAACAATGCAGGGTTAGAACTATGAACCATGAGATCATGACCTGAGCCTAAACCAAGAGCTGGACACTTAACTGACTGAGCCACTCAGGTGCTCCTTCACTTACATGTTTTAGTAAAATAATATATCTTGTTCAGAACACCTTTAATGGTCCTCAAGCCATGATAGACAATAATGGTCGCATTCCTAAGGTGTTGTCTATGGTATCTTAAGGAAGAAATTCTGCTTTTCCTTTTGAAAATATTAACCCCATATAGTAATAAATTGTGAAGCCAATATAGTTGGGTTGCCTCTTTAAAATCTTAAATATAAATTATGTCATCTTTGTATAATCTTTTTCACACATAAAATTTTCTTCATAACACTGTAGTTGAATCTGAAACACACATATCCTATGACAATATTTACCATGATCCAGAAAGTCAAAATATTTCCTTCTTTTCCAGCATTTATACAGCATGATGTTTTATAACCATTGAGTAAAAAAATTTACTAGACATCCCTTACCTCCACCCCAAAATATACAAGAGGATACTGTGTCACAGAGATTAATTTACCTGGAAATGAATACTGATTAAGACCAAGGAATAATTTTTAAACTTCTGCAGTTTCTGAGCACTTTGATCTGTAGAACAGTGAAGCTATATTATACATTCACTCATTTCTTCAACAGATACAGAGAATTGAAAAAGCACTGTGAGAGCTATAAAAATGAAGACATACTACAGTTTCCCGAGAATTGTATAGTAGAGAGCAAGAGGGCGTATATACAGAAATTATAATGTCAGGTAGTAGATGCTGAGGAGAGAATCAAAAGCAAAGTGTTACACGAGTTCATCTTCTTGCTGGAAAAATCAGGGAGCATTTTTAGCAAGAACTGGCATTGATAATAGATCTTAAAAAATTGGTAGGGTTTTATAGAAGAAGGTATACCAGATGGAAGAGATGTATAAAGAGGTACAGGCATGGAAAGTGTAGAAAATACTTGGTGAAGGGAAGTAGTGGGAACCTGACCCCATAGCATGGAGGTGTTGAATAAAGGCCATTGCAGCATTTTGACTAAAAGAGGCATGCATTTTGTTGAAATCTGGCAGAGGTTTATAGGAATAATTATGGGGTGGAAAGGCTGGAGATGGAACACAAGTTGGTAGATTAGTACAGTAGTCCAGACAAGAGTTATATGAAGTTCTGAATAAAGATGTTGACGACGGAAATAAACAGGAAGGAGCTGACTCGAATTCTATTCAGAGAAGGGAAAGAATTTGTTCCCTATTAAATATATTTT